CAACGTAGTTTGTTGTCCTTCCCCCGCACCTCCGATCAGCACGGTTGGCTACGTACGGTGCGAAAGAAGTTCAACGTACATCACACGTGCCTCGAAGAGAATCTAGCATCGATCTAGCATGAACTAGATGAAGCCACTGGCCCCCTCTCATTTGTAGCCTTTTCTCGCTTCATCACTCATGTTAAAATGTGCATGGATATTGGCGATTGGGAATATGGGATGTCAAAATCCGATGAGTAATAGGTTCCTTATGTCTGCCTCTGTGAGCCTCAGGCTCAAGAACCCAAAAAGGTGCCTTGGTCGGCCCCCTGTTACTTGATGTGCAGCGACCGCTCACGTCCGCATAGTCGTATACGTACTAATCGTACAAATAATAATAATAACAATAACACACGGCCCTTTGTCTATCCACCATGTCGGATGACGGCCTCCGTACACCACGTCCGTTGCGGGGTTTTGCTTGAAGCATACTTCACCACGCCGGTCAGCGCAGGCTAGTGCAGGGCGGAGGGGCCTAGGGCCAGAACAGACGTCACCCGCCGCCGACGCTCGCTGTAGCCAGGAAGGAGAGAAAGACTCGGGTGGGTCGGCTTCATAGCACACGGCGCGCCAAACCGGCAGACCACGCAGCCGCCCCACGCGCGGGCCTCCGTACACAATCTGAACGCGAAACATTGAGCGCAAACCAAAGGGTGGCCATGACGTCTGCCAGATGCGGTGAATTGATGCTATCCCATGGGACCTTGACCTCACGACAGCAGACGCTCCCTTATTAAGACGGAAAAGCCCCCTGAGTAAATCAGTGGATGGTGGAGACTTGTGGGAGGTGTGCGATTTACTTGCTGCCCTTGTATTAAGTGCTCCCGGAGCAAAATGTGAAATGGGATTTATACAAGACGAAGATTGCAAAAACAACACAATTAAAATAACATTTGTATTTATATATACCGTCCGAAGTGGGGGGGGGGCAGTGGTCACCGCAATGCCGCTAAGCTGTGAAGGTGGCAGACCCGAGTTCAATTCCCAGCCACGGCTAACCTCAGTGGTGGGAGCTATCTGAACCACTCCTAGGCCTCCGTAACCTTCCCAAACCCGGAGCCATTTGTTGAAATTCCATAATCCTATGGCAGGGACGAGACTGGTTCAAGCGGTGGCAGCCACACCAACGGCTCACTGCATCGCTCGCTTTCAGATGCGTGCTTCTACGGCCGTCTGGAACGCTCTTCCTCCCGATATTAGCAAGCCTCTGGAGCTATGCACTTTTAAATCTATACTGAAAACTCATTTCTTTAGAACTGCTTTTTGGGATTAGTTTGTTGCCCTTCCTCCGCACCTCTGATTATCACGGTTGGCTAAGTACGGTGTAAAAGTGCAACATACAGTGAGGGAAAAAAAGTATTTGATCCCCTGCTGATTTTGTACGTTTGCCCACTGACAAAGAAATGATCAGTCTATAATTTTAATGGTAGGTTTATATGAACAGTGAGAGACAGAATAACACCAAGAAAATCCAGAAAAACACATGTCAAAAATGTTATAAATTGATTTGAATTTTAATGAGGGAAATAAGTATTTGACCCCCTCTCAATCAGAAAGATTTCTGGCTCCCAGGTGTCTTTTATACAGGTAACGAGCTGAGATTAAGAGCACTCTTAAAGGGAGTGCTCCTAATCTCAGCTTGTTACCTGTATAAAAGACACCTGTCCACAGAAGCAATCAATCAGATTCCAAACTCTCCACCATGGCCAAGACCAAAGAGCTCTCCAAGGATGTCAGGGACAAGATTGTAGACCTACACAAGGCTGAATGCCAATCAGCTTGGTGAGAAGGTGACAAGAGTTGGTGCGATTATTCGCAAATGGAAGAAACACAAAAGAACTGTCAATCTCCCTCAGCCTGGGGCTCCATGCAAAATCTCACCTCGTGGACTTGCAATGATCATGAGAACGGTGAGGAATCAGCCCAGAACTACACGGGAGGATCTTGTCAATGATCTCAAGGCAGCTGGGACCATAGTCACCAAGAAAACAATTGGTAACACACTACGCCGTGAAGGACTGAAATCCTGCAGCGCCCGCAAGGTCCCCCTGCTCAAGAAAGCACATATACATGCTCGTCTGAAATTTACCAATGAACATCTGAATGATTCAGAGGACAACTTGGTGAAAGTGTTGTGGTCAGATGAGACCAAAATGGAGCTATTTGACATCAACTCAACTCGCCGTGTTTGGAGGAGGAGGAATGCTGCCTATGACCCCAAGAACACCATCCCCACCGTCAAACATGGAGATGGAAACATTATGCTTTGGGGGTGTTTTTCTGCTAAGGGGACAGGACAACTTCACCACATCAAAGGGTAGATGGATGGGGCCATGTACCGTCAAATCTTGGGTGAGAACCTCCTTCCCTCAGCCAGGACATTGAAAATGGGTCGTGGATGGGTATTCCAGCATGACAATGACCCAAAACACACGGCCAAGGCAACAAAGGAGTGGCTCAAAAAGAAGCACATTAAGGTCCTGGAGTGGCCTAGCCAGTCTCCAGACCTTAATCCCATAGAAAATCTGTGTAGGGAGCTGAAGGTTCGAGTTGCCAAACGTCAGCCTCGAAACCTTAATGACTTGGAGAAGATCTGCAAAAAGGAGTGGGACAAAATCCCTCCTGAGATGTGTGCAAACCTGGTGGCCAACTACAAGAAACGTCTGACCTCTGTGATTACCAACAAGAGTTTTGCCACCAAGTACTAAGTCATGTTTTGCAGAGGGGTCAAATACTTATTTCCCTCATTAAAATGCTAATTAATTTATAACATTTTTGACATGCGTTTTTCTCACTGTTCAAATAAACCTACCATTAAAAATATAGACTGATCATTTCTTTGTCAGTGGGCAAACGTACAAAATCAGCAGGGGATCAAATACTGTTTTCCCTCACTGTACATACATACAACCAAAGCGTCACTGCGTATACAGTAATAACCCAATTTGCGCTTTTTCGTTTTACGTACTTTCGCTATAACGTACTCGGCTAAATTGATACCCAATCGCGTTGTATGCACTCTGGTACCTCGCTATAACCAAATGCCCTAATGCTCATTTAAATTAGTGTAAATTTCCCACACATTTCCCCTTGGACTTCTGGCCGAGATTAGCCGTGGACCAGGAATCGGACTCGGGTCATGGGGTTTGTAGAGCAAGCGCACTCACCACCGCATGACCGCTCGCACAATTAGCACGCGTGTATAAAATCTGACGGGCAGATCGCCTGCACGCTCGGTGAAGGACCACCGATCCATCTTTAAAAAAAATCTATATTGTACGAAGCGGCCGTTACACGTTTAAAGCAAAGGCGATGAGTGCGTCGGCCGGGGTATTTTTTATTTTTTTAAAGCCACTCTCCGACCCGCGCCGCCGACGGAGACTGAAGATGAGCGAGCATCCGTCGGGGATGGGACCCCCTTCGTTACGACGGCAGCGCGAAAAACAACACAGTCAAAACAAGAAGTGGCGCACGCACACCGACGACACAAACAACGACGACGATGACAAGGGCCCTCGGGGTAGACACCCGGCTCTTCTGCTCGCTCAAGCCACGGTGAAGACCGCGCTCCGATTCGCACATCGAGTGCTCGGCAAACGGTCCGGAGGGTGGGTAGGTGGGTGGGTGGGTGGGGGGGGCTGAAGAGGGGACGGGAGCAGAGAGGGGTACGCGAAACGGAGAGAGGACACTTAAGGGCAAACTGCGCTCGATGCGCAAACGCTCGGGAACGTCGTTCAACGATGGGGTTTGACGAGCGGCCGAATTGCGCGTCGGCCCCGATGGTCTGATTCGAGTGCGCGCACTGAGTGTGCACGCGTCCTCAGAAGACTGTGATCGGATATCTCACCCCCCCCCCCACGGGCTACGAGCGCCGGTGGAGGTTCGGGCTTGAGCTGCGTGGCGAACGGCAGGCGCCACCTGCTGGTGCGATTTCAGAACTGGATGTCTCAAAGACGTGAAACTAAACTTTGTTATCTACCAAGTAAAGCCCACTGTTAACTACCTCACCCGGTATGCAGGAGGTCACGGGTTCGATCACAACCCTGACGCCTGCTGTATATGTGGAGTTTGCGCGTGTCTCTCTCCCCGTGGCCGCGTGGATTTTTCTCCGGGTCCTCCGGTTGTTCCCTCCACATTTAGAATCAACATCACTACGCGGTTTAGCGTATTTGGCTGCTTTAAATTTCCACGTGACGATGATAAGCCACTTTGCGGAGCGATAATTTGTGGCCAGGTCGCTTCCGAAGAAGAGCTACGTAGCTCAGTGGGCCTTCCTTATGTGGTAAAAGGAAAAAGTTGAGTTGGTTTTAGGTTAGACTCATTCTCATTTATACTGAGGCGCCTGCAGGGAATGCTGCACCTATCGGTTTTTAGAACTCTTTTTTTGTGTTTAGTTTGTTGTCCTTCCCCCACACCTCCAATTAGCACGGCTGGCTACGTACGGTGCGAAAGAGGTTCAACATACATACGCACATCATGGGTAGAGGGGGGGGCGGTAAGTCTGGTGGCAGGGCCGGTCCCTTGGGGAACTCCTCAAAGCCAGCTCTGCGCACAAGTTCGCAGCCCGTGTCGGGAATTTCTAACGCTAAAGGTGTAAGAGAAGAGTGGCGTGGATGGCGGTATTGACAAAGAAACAACGGCCCACTCTTGCGCGAGATACATTTGTGTAGTACTCTTCGTACTCGAACGGCAAATGCTGCAGTGGGTTTACTCTCCAACGCACGGCCGGTGTGCTGAACCAGTAACGAATTGGCACGTTTTGTTGTTCACGTGACAAACCTTACTCATTGGCTGTGTCGGGTGGTGGCGGATGTAACGACATTTAAGCGATCTAGCCCAAATAAAACCTCTATTGCGTGTATCCAGCGTCCCGTGGCGTGACGCCGAAAGCACGGCTGGAGGGGGGGGGGGGGGGGAATAAAAGACACAAAAACACGGGGGATGATTGGGCGCCAGCGTACCGTGCAGGAGGATGTCTCTGAGCGAGCGGCTCTCGAGCGACAGTCTGGCCAGGCGTGGAGCGTGGTCCTTCCTCACCCTCAGCCACATATCCTCCGTGCGCTCCAGGCGGCCCGAATGTTTCGCCTCCAGCTGTGAGAGCGGCGAGCGGGGGTGGGGGTCACAACGGGAACTCGCACGCCGCCGCCGCCGCCGCCGCCGCCGTCGTCGTCGTCGTCGTCGTCGTCGCCGTCGGATCCGGAGAATCCCCGGCGCCGTCAAAACTACGACCGTGTTCCGACTCGAAGATAATCGACGGTCGCTCGGTCGCTCCAGCGGTACGACGCGATCTTCTATTGTGGCCCGGGTGACGCGGTCCAGTGGTGGCGCATTTGCCGGCATGTCGCAGAAGGTTTCGCGGTTTGAATCAAGGCAGGTTGCCCTGGGTTATTACTACCGCGGTTATTAAAGCGTACGTATACGCGCAGTCCGCTTCACGGAAGACCGCATAAGTCATTCGGAAAGAGTAGGCCACGGTGCGTGCGCCGGAGTCACCCTTAAAATTTTGCCAAATTCGATTAAATTCCCCGATTGGAAAATACGGCACCGCAACGCCGCCAACCTGCTGCGAAACGACCACGCAGCCTGTGTCTGTGAAACATAGCGCCTTCGTGACTGCCTTGCGCTTGAAAGATCGGAGCGAGTACCAAAACGCGCTAAATCATGGCCGATCGCGATTCCGCAACGGCACCCGTCGACCCTAGACTTGACCGTTCCACTTCGGCGGCGGCGGCGGCGGCGGCGGCGTCTCACCTGGCGCAGCGAGGACGCGAAGGCCTCGTGCGAGTGGTTTAGCCGCGCGCGGAACTGGCTGCAGATGTTCTTGGCGAGCTTGGAGGCGCTGAGGCTGTCCATGGTGTCCTGCGCCACCTTGCGCTTCCACTCGGCCGTGAGCGCCGGCGGCGTCGTCCACGTGAGGCTGTGGATCAGCTGTGGTTCCGCACAGACGCAGGCGCGTACGGGACGCGACGTTGGCGTTGGAACAGCTCGCAGGGCCGCAAAGCCAGTCCAACAAGGGAGCCTCTTGCCGGTTTGCTAGCGTTGTCCGTATTTTGTAAATTTTCTCCCGAATTTTATCGCGATTCTGATCACGCCTTTGCTGTCATACGACAAAGTGTACGTTTGGGTCAACGTAAACCTTTTGTGTTCCGGTAAATTTGCCAAATTCAAAAAGATGTACCTGCAAATCAGTCATTTGCGATCACACGCCAGTGACCCTTGCGGGTAGACTCAGGTCAAGCGCCCGAGTCACCTTGTGCTGCACAGGGACAGCTTCCACTGGGGGTGCCCCTTTCCAATGTTCGAGATGAAGATGTGACGTGAGCCGCTTATTGCGCGTAAAAGCGCTCCCGAGACGTTCCGGTGTACAGGGTGCTGCTCTTTCAAAAACAAATCAGAATATTTATTTATACTAAAGGAGGAATCCGATGAGCCATGAAGCTCTTTTTCACAATGGGGAAACAATCCAAAAACATGATAGGAGTGCAAAGTATAGGAAAGTTAAACAAATGACTTGACAATATACAAATAAAACTAGATAACTTTTTTTTTATCGCTATCCTGAAGATTATGCAACGCGCAACGTACAAATTAGAACTGCAACGCTTTATTTGCTAGGGTCAGCGCCAGAATGCAAAATGTCCCCACCCCCCCACCCCCCGAGGGTTACATTTGACGGTGGCATACAAAGCGCCACTGTCTGCCCCACCCCCCCACTGCACGCCGTCACGAGCTGCCGTCCGGCCTGTGCCTCGTGACCCCTGACCCCCGGGGGTCATGAGCACAAGGGGGCGGCACTCAGCCTCGTGACCCCTGGCCCCCCGAGGGTCATGGCCACAAGGAGGTGGCACCCAGCCTCGTGAACCCTGACTCCCGGGGGTCATGAGCACAAGGGGGATTCGCTCGTGGGGCCACTCCTCTGTTGGGGCTGCTCCACGCTGCCATCACAATATTATTCAAACGAGGCGACGATGTTACGTACGGGCTCATAGGGTGGACAAAACTGCATGAACCAGACGTAAGAAACACAACAAACTAGACCTGGCCCACCTGCTTAATCTGCTCCCAGAGGATGTAGGCGACGGAGGAACCCGACTGGAAGGTGACCTCCACGTGGTAGGCCGCGTTCAAGATCTGCCGGGACACGCGTGGGGGGTGGGGGGGCACGGTGAGGCCGGAGCGAGCGAGCAACTCACCCCCCACCCCCCCCGCCCCCCCCACACAAGCGATCGGGCCAAGTCCTTGTTATCAAATAAAAAAGGGCCGCGGAAGCGGATAACGCAGAGCTCGCTTCAAGTGACGCGCGGGCAGAGGGCAGCGCCTTCCCACTCGCACCGCGCAGGCAGCAGCGAGTGAGGGTTCGTCGCTTGACGGTCAGCCTCGTATTTTCATTCTCAGAGATGAAGTTCGGCCGAAACTAACGTAATGCGAGGGTTTTGTTTTGCAGTGGTGGTCAGGCCGAGACGATTGACTTGCTACGCTTCAGCGCCCAGTTGAATCACAACTCATTCTCCGTCAATCTATGGGTCTCTGAATTTCTACAGGTCTCCCGCTCTTGAGTGCACGGATTTTCCGTGTACATCTACGGGCCTCTATGAATTTCATTGGTGACCTGGGCAGAAACGGTCAATGAACGCTACGCTTGAGAACCCGGGATTGATCACAGGCAGCTGAAACCTGACCAGGAACGCATCGGTGCTAGCACAGCGAGAGCTGTGACCTCTGAGTGACCCTGCCACCTTGTGTGTGCTTTAATTTGTATTTTTTATATTTTACCTGGACAATCCCTTGAGATGGAACATCACATTTGCAGGAATGTCCAGCGGACGACCTTACCGATTTAAAAATAAAACGTTTGGACGTCTACAGTATGCACAGTGTACCTTTATACAGCGTCACGTGATATGCGAGGTCAAGAACAGGAACAAGGCCAAGGCTGCGCACGTGAGCATCATACGTGAACGTCATGCGTGGACGTCATACTTATATGTCATGCGTGAACGTCATGCGTGAATGTCATACGTGAACGTCAATAGTGAACGTGAATAGTGAACATCGTACGTGGACATCATACGTGGACCTCATATGTGCTCTCAGGGAGCCCTGCATGAGCCTCGCGATGTTAACTACCTCGCCTAGTATACATGAGGTCGTGAGATAGATACCGACCCTGACGCCTGCTGTCAATTTGGAGTTTGCACGCTCTCCCCGTGGTCGTGTGGATTTTTACCCGGGTCCCCCAGTCTTTCCCTCCACACTGAGAAACGTGCGTTCACAAAATTCCACATGACGGAATGGACAGACAGAAAAACAGGCAGATATACGGACAAATCGGCAGACAGACAGAAAGACAGGCAGACAGATTGACAAGCAGACAGACTGACAGACGGACGGACCGATAGAGAGATGGACAGACGGACAGACGGACACACAGGCAGGCAGAGAAATGGATGGACAGACGGATGGATGGACAGATAGGCAGACGGTGCATACCCCCCACCTGCTTGAGGTGCGAGCTGGTGAGGCTGTTGCTGGTGACGTCCCCGCCCGACTTCTCGAGCGAGTCGAGGCAGCGCGCGAGCGTGCCCACGAAGCTCTCGCGCAGGTAGTCCACCGAGGCGATGAGCTTGCTGGCCACCGCCTCCTTCAGACGATTCAGCACCAGCTCCTGGATGTGCTTGGAGCAGCGCTGGACGCCTCGTCCGCTCCCCGGCTCCCCGTTGCTCACCGGAACGTCTGCGACGAGACACAACGGCGGCGGTGCCCGGTTGTTGTTGTTGTTTTTCTCTTCTCCAACGTGGCGGGGGGAAAAAACAACAGCGAGTAACGTTTCCCCGACGCGTGTTTGCCCACGGCAGTACGTTACACTGGCCGTGCAGAGACGGCGCCGCTGTTTTTATATTTCTCAAGAGCTGGAAATTTGAAGCAACTTAAGTTCGAACTCAAACAACAACATTCTGGTGGATAACACGAGTCTGCATGGCCGTAAATACACGTTACCTATCTTCCAATCAGTCACCCACAGTCGGTTGCCTCCTTACCACTCGTCGATTGCTACTACCAAGGTTACCTCTGCTGCGAACTTCACCCGTTGATTTTATACCCACGTTGTTGAAAACTCGGTCTGCAAGACTGACCGCTTCGCCTCGTCCATACTGTGTACAACCAACACACTGCAGAGACGCCCCCCCCCTCCCCCCCGTACAGCCTTGCCCACCGCCTTTGTCTCCCCGGTGATGATATTTTTACACACCAGACCAGGTACTCATTTGAGGCCGAGTCGACCTAGGGGAGGCCCACGACCATTTCAGATTAATGTCACTGGTATTAGCCGTGAGCGGGAATCGAACTCGGGCCACCGGATTTGTTGCGCGATGTGATAACCACTGCACTACCGCTCCACATAACAACACACTCACTCATTCACCCAACCACCCACCACTCATCCATCCACCACCCATCACCCACCCACCCACCACTCACCGACCCACCACTCACCCACCCACCCACCACTCACCGACCCACCACTCACCCACCCACCCACCACCCACCCACCCACCACTCACCGACCCACCACTCACCCACCCACCCACCACTCACCCACCCACCACACTGCAGGCCACAACCGCTATGCTTTCTGCCTCCACTTCTCTCACAAGAAGTTTGTAATATTTGTGCCCAGTTCAGGATACATCAACTTGCTACACATCACTTTATTCTGCAGATTGTAAGACGCACCACTGCCTCTGTATTTCAAACCAAAAATGTGGGGTGCGTACTATAATTTGGTCGATGTGCATGTGTGTGTGTATGTAAGGGAATGTATAAATGTATGTTTAACAGCAAGGGACAAAGGGTGGGGGGTGTGGGGGGAGTAGTCAGGATTCATAATGGCCGTGTAAGAGCCGCCACAGCTGAGATCTGGGGTTGGTATGTCCGAGGGCGTCGGTTTTGACCACGTGCGATTTATCGGGGGTCGTACAGCTACGGGGGTCAACACGTGAAAAATGTACGTCGTTGAAAAAGTTGGCTTGTGAAGGTGGCCGTGTGGTTTGGGGGGGAAAGGGGGCTGGTTGTACGTACGTGCGTTGAACTTCCTTCGCACAGTGCGTAGCCAACCGTGCTAATCGGAGGTGCGTAACCAGATCCGTGCAACTGCGTCGACACTGGGCACAAGTTTTGGGTACGTCTTACTTTTCCGCAGCTTCTTGTCATCCGGAAAAAGTGCCAATCGTCGAGAGGTGTAAACACGTTTCTTTGAAGTGAGCAGGGCTACGAGGAGAAAGTGGGAAAATAAACGATGGGAGGGAATTCCAATGCGGAGCGGTGCGTGAAAAGATACACCCAGAGAAGATTTGTGACCTGTTGGACATTAACCGCCCCCACCCCCCGACACACCTCCGGTCTTCGCATCTGATTGGCTCGCAAGTGTCGACATCACATTCATCCCCACCTCTGTTTAAGACCGAAACAGGAGGTGGATTTCGCCAAAAAATCTGCGGCTGTCCACCTGATGATGCTGGTTGTTGTAATTGATCGCGAAACGTCACAGCACACGAATGGTAAATGTTGTAGTGGGTTTGCTCGCTGACACACCGGTGTGCTGAACTAGTGACGAATTGTAAATGTCGTGGGTTTACCCTCCAACACACCGGTGTGCTGTACTAGTGACTAATTGGCACGTTTTGTTTACGTGACAAACTTTATTAATTGGCTGTGTCGGGTGGTGGCGGGTTTAACGACACATTTACGCGCTCTAACTCAAAAGCCTCTCTCTTATGGATGATATCGGTCGCGAAAGTGCCCTCCTCCTCCTTCTGCTACTGCTAGGTGTAAAACTCCTCTACACGCTCGTGATTGTGCCCTTTGGGGGCCTGTGTTTGACAACCGCGATAAAAAAAATAAACCCGGCAAAAAATTTGTCGCATCAAACCCGCGGTAACGACCCTGAACCGCAAATCTTAAAATCCTATCCGTCAACCGCGACCCTAACCCACAGCCACAACCGCACCACCCACCCCCCCCCCGCCCACTCCCCGCCGACGAACCGGCAAACTCCGTGGTGGCCGCCTCCTCCAGCAGCTGCTTGCGCATGCTGTCGAGCGTGTCCACGATCATCTGGCGGATCTCCTCCTGCTTCTCGTTGGCGATCTCGAGCAGCGAGGCGTACAGCTCCTCCTCCTTGGCGCGCGTGTACTGCAGGCGGCGCGGCGTGATCTGCAGGTCGCGCGCCATGTCGAACGCGTGGCTGATGAAGAGGTCGAGGCCGCGGGCGTGCACCCCGCCCAGCACGCCCGTCGCCTCCACGAGCCGCGCGTGCAGCGCCAGCCGCGAGAAGTGCGGCAGCCGGTCGGCGCAGTCCGTCAGCGCGCTGTGAGCGCGGCCCGCCGACGTGCCCGCCGTCGTGCCGCCCAGGTAGTCCAGCCCGACGAGCTGCCGGTGCAGCACCGTGCCGCCGCAGCTGTTGCCGGCGCTCGGGAGGTCCCTTTCCAGTTTGGCGTAGGTGGTGGTGAGGCGCGCGTAGGGGGGCGCGGCGGGCGCGGGGGGCGCGGGGGGCGCGGGGGGCAGCCGCAGGAAGAAGACCGGCTCGGAGAAGTTCTGCTTGAGGCGCGCCAGCTCGAGCGCGTCGGCTTCGGACAGCCGCTCGGAGGCGACGGCGTAGAGGAGGACGGGGAGGAGGTGGCTGCGCAGCTCCTCCAGCGCAGAGGTGAGCGGCTGCAGCTGCCGCGACGGCGCCAGCACCACGCTCACCTCCTGGTGGCGCGGGCGGGCACACGGGGTCACGCGGGTTGTACGGTCAGCACGGCCGGCTCCGATTATCACGTGTGGCTACGTACGGCGCGAAACACGCACGCGCGTACGTACGTACGTAAATATATATGGGGCAAATAGACACACGGACAGAGACAAAGATAAAGAACCCCCATATAGCCTTAACAGACTGTAGGGGACAAGTGCTGTTAGCGAGCACCTATAAAGGCCGGAAACGGTACACAAGGGGGTGGGTGGCAAGCACCACGCCCGACCGCCTTTGTCTCCCTAGTGGCAATGTTTACACACTGCACCAGGTACTCATTTGAGGCTGAGTCGACCTAGAGGAGGCCCGGGACCGGTTCAGATAATCGTCACTGGTGTTGGCTGTGAGCGGGAATCGAACCCGTGTCGCCAGGTTCATAGCGCAGCGCACTAAATACACTATCGCTCCACACACGGACAAAAACACACACACACGCACGCGCAGACACGCAGACACGTGGTCACACAAGGGCATTCGGGCAGACAGGTACACAGGCGCGCGCGCACACAGGCAGACCGGCACACAGACGCATGGTCACACAGACACATGGGCAGATCGGCAGACATAAGCACCGACACACAGAGGCATAGACACAGGGGCACGCAGACACATGGAGCACCTATTAAGGGTGGCACGGTACGAATTGTGGGTGGCGTGTATCCATCGGTGTTTAACAGTCTGTGCCGGGTACTCAATTAAAGGCCGAGAACAACAAGAAGATCAGATCCCACTCTCCACCGACGTTAGCCTTGAGCGGGAAAGCAAACGCAAGTCGGTGGGTTCGTAGCGCAACGTGTCAACCACTGCACTGCCGCATACCACGCGGATGTACCGGCAAACAGGTAGACCAACAGGCAGGCAGACAAGACAGGATAGAGTGGCAGGTAGGTAGACATACAGGTAGTCAGAAAGTCAAACAGGTAGACCCGATGGTCAGGCAGGCAAGTAAACAGGTAGACAGATGGGCAAAGTAAAACAGACAGGCGGACAGCCAAACAGGTAGACAAGACAACCAATGAAGCAGGTAAAACAGGTGTGCTGGGTAGTAAATCCACTGCACTAACCACTGTCCTACGCCCTCCACTCGCAAACGCACACACGCACGCACACACACGCACGCACACACACACCAACACGCACCTTCGATTAACACGGTTGGCTACGTACGGTGCAAAATAACTTTAACATACGTACATACAACAGGCCATGCTTTGCTATTAGGAACCAACTACAGTGAAACCTTGGATTGCGAGTAACTTGCTCTGCGAGTGTTTTGCAAGACGAGCAAAATTTTTAAATAAATATTCATTTGATAAACGAGCGAGGGTCTTGCAATACGAGTGGTACGTGTAGACGCTTTGTACTGCCAAGCGTCACGTGATCACAACTGATATACGAGTGCTTTGGATTACAAACACGTTTCCGGAACGAATTATGCTCGCAATCCAAGGTTTTACTGTATTTTTATTTAGCCAGGCAAGGCCCACTGAGCTGTGTAGCTCTTTTTCACGAGCGACCCGGCGACAAATGATAGCCCGACTAAGTGGCTTATCATCACGTGGAAATGTAGAAATGTATAGCCGCCAAACGCACGTTGCCGATTCTAAACGTGGGGTGAAAAAACCCGCGGACCCGGAGAAAAATCCACGCGACCACGGGGAGAGACACACGCAAACTCCAAGTGTGTACAGGCGTCGGGATTGAACCCACGACCTCCTGTATACCAGGGCGAGGTAGTTAACATCTCGCCGCCGTGGGGCCCAGTACTTAAACACTTTGCAGTTCCCATGGTAACCGCACATGTTGTTAAAAAACAAAGCAGATGATTGGAGCTCACGCGCAGCATTCCTTGCGCCCGCGGGCAACTCAGTATGAACTTTCCCTGGCAACACGGGGAGCGTTGCGTTACTCGCCTACACGAAAACAAAAACGCGCCGCCTTGCACGTTGCGTTACTCGTGCACACCACAACAACAACAACGTGTCGCCTCGCACGTTGTGTTACTCACGCACACCACCACAACAACAACAACAACGTGTCGCCTCGCACGTTGTGTTACTCGCGCGCACCACAACAACAACAACAACGCGTCGCCTCGCACGTTGTGTTACTCACGCACACCACAACAACAACAACGTGTCGCCTCGCACGTTGTGTTACTCACGCACACCACAACAACAACAACGTGTCGGCTCGCACGTTGTGTTACTCACGCGCACCACAACAACAACAACGCGCCGCCTCGCACGTCGCGTTACTCGCGCGCACGGCGATGACGTCATCGCCGCGGCTGTGCCAGCAGGACGCCCGCGGCCCACGACAATGCCGACGCGGCAATGCGCGAGGGGCGTGAAGGCGACGGCACATTGGGTTTAGGAACCACGGCTCATAACACTGAGACAGTCCCGCGGGTTCTCTGCGCGCTCGTGAGCGCGATGAAAACTGACGGGCAAGCGACGCGGAGGGACGAAATCCGCTGGCGTGCACGCGGTCGCCGCCGGGTTTCTACATCGTACGGCCGTGAGGGATCGCGACGGGCTTCCGGAGGCCTCGGTGTACGTACGCCGGGCTTCTTTCGCACCGCACGTAACCAACCGTGCTGGTCGGATGGGGGGGGGGCGGTGGGGGGAAAGACGACCGATTGATGTGGGCCCCTTTGCGTGACCGTCATTTCCCACGCACGTTCGAATATCCGACCATTTCACTCGTCCGCCTGTGCTTTAGTCCCCAGCTGGTCGGATATGCGAAGTTGTACTTTATATATAGTTATTTTCTTATATTATATATGGGATGTTTATTGGGTGTTTTCTTTTTTTTTCTACTTGGCGATCGTGTCGACTCAGTGTTAATTAAGTGTCCCTGCCCGTGCGACATTCCGCACGCGAGCGGGCGCTGGGCTCCGTGGTGCCGGCGGTCGTGGCGCGCCGTCGCGACGTTCCGGCACCGCGTTGTTAAAACTTCCGCGCCGTTAATTATAGCGCCTTGGTGGGTGCTTACGATTCATCATACCAAAAACAAACTAAAAGATTTTACTTTTTCTTTCACCAGGTCAGGCCCAATGAGCTCCGTAGCTGTTTTTCAGTAGTGACCTGGCTATCACTAACGACAGGTAAACGAAGTGGCTTGTCATCATCACGTGGAAATTTCTAGCTGCCAAATACTCTAAACGCGTGATGCTGATTATAAATACGGAGGGAAAACACCGGGGGGACCCGGAGAAAAATCCACGCGAGCACAGGGAGAGAGACACGCAAACTCCAAATAGACAGCAGCAGCAGGCGTCAGGGTCAGGATCGAACCCACGACCTCCTGTGTACAAGGCGAGGTAGTTAACATCTCCTAGCCACCGTGGCGTCACACGGACGGCTCCTCGAAATCAACTGATCGTCAACCCCTCTGTGCGACCGCCAGCAGCGCCCCGCGCGGTCACCTTGAGGAGCGGGTGCGGCAGGCTGAGCTCCAGCTGAGCTTGCCGGAACGCCGGGTCTTGGCACTCGGGTTGGAGCATGCGCAGATACGCGGCGTTAGCAGCAACAGCAGCGGGCGTCCTCTCCCAGTCGTCGTCTTCGTGCTGCTGCTGCTGCAGCTGCTGTTGCAGCTGCTGCTGCAGCTGCTGCTGTAGCTGCTGCTGCTGCAGATGCTGCTGCTGCTGCTGCAGAGGCTGCTGCGGCTGCTGCTGCAGAGGCTGCTGCTGCGGCGGCGGCGTGGCCTGCTGCGGATGCAGCAGCTCAAACTGCCCCGGCAGGACGAGGCTGGCGCGGCGCTCCGTGCCGTGCCGCAGCCGGGTTGCCCGGCACGCCGCTCCCGCGCTGCCGCCACCGCCGCCGCCGCCGCCGCCGCCGCCATTGCCGTTCCCGACGCCGTCGGCCGTTCCGCCGCTCGCATTGTCCGCTACAGCGGGGAGGCCGGGAGGAGAGAGAGCGGAGTGCGGTTGAGAGGGAGCCGTTGGGAACGGAATCCACTTTCGCACGATGCAGTCTCTCCCGAGGCGTTCGAAGTATGCCGGTCTTGGGCGAATGGGCTCGTGCGTATACACGTACGTTTACTTACAGTCGCACGCGGCCGACTGCTTGAAGAGGCGCTGAAACGCGTCGTCCGCACAATGAGAAAGCTCATCCAAATATTCACGCACGGGCGTGCATTCAAACATTTTCAAAAACCGATGTAACTCATCGCACCCCTGGGGCTAGAGTAGGCCAAATACCCCCCCCCCCCACCCCCCAGAAGGGTCCCCTAGAGCCCCTCCTCGTGGAGGAATTTCTGGCAGGCTGTGGTGTGAGGCAGAAATTACAAAAATCGCAAAAATGCCAAAGGGTGTTGAATGATCATCAGAAAGCCGCGGTGCCAAGGAGATGTTAACTCCCTCGCCTGGTTTACAGGAGGTCGTGGGTTCGATCCCGACCCTGACGCCTGCTGCTGCTGTATATTTGGAGTCTGCATGTTCCCTCTCCCCATGGCCGCGTGGATCTTTCTCCGGGTCCTCCTGCTTTTCCCTCCACATTTATAATCAACATCACGCGTTTAGAGTATTTGGCTGCGAATAAATTTGCACGTGATGATGACAAGCCACTTAATTGGGCTATCATTCGTGGCCAGATCGCTTTTGAAAAGACCTACATAGCTCAGTGGGGCCTTACTTGGCAACAACTGCAAATAGCTTCCAGTTTATAAATACTTTAAAACGGCTCACAATTAATCTCTCGGCTTGCCAATACGTGGCAGCACAGCACAAGCGGATTCATTCCCTTTTACAGGGAGATTGAGTTTACGGTCAACCCCTTTAGTCGTCTGACCGCAAGTGACGAGAGCGGGGCCGTACCATCCGAGGGAAGGTCGGGCAGCACGCGCTCCCCGAGGATGCACTCGAGCGCGCGCAGCTTGGCGCCGTCGCTGGTGCCGGCGATGAGGAGGCACGGCGCGCAGTCGGCCACCGAGTGGAGGTAGGCGAGCTCGTGCGCCGGGAAAGAGATGCAGCTTCGCTGGTCTGCGGGGGGGAGGGAGTCACGCGGACACGAGATGGATTAACGTCGTCGGCGGCGTAGTCGTCGTCGTCGCCGTCGTCTCGAGCTCGAGACGGCGCACTGGTCGACGCGGACAACACGCGCATCCCGCCAGCACGAGCGGCGGCGGAGAGAGGCCGCCGGATCAACGTCGTCGTCATGATAGCCGTCGTCGTCATATCCAAGCTCTAGGTGATGCATTGGCCTGCGGTGACAAAAGACGCACAGCACCACCAGGACTACCGGTGAAGAGAATGTATTAATGTCGTCGTCGTCATCATCATCATCATCTCCAAGCTGTAGATGATGCACTGGCCAACGGTGACAACACACACAGACACAGACGACCACGACGAGGCAGGATTATCACCACTGACATCATCATTGTCATTATCGCCAAACTCCAGGTGATGCACTGGACTGCAGTGACCACACACAGCCACAGCAGTGGATGAACGACATCATCATCACGATGGCTGACCATTTCTGTGTTGACGTTCATGCTTCCAATGAGGTTCTTTGTAAGTCTATGGGTCCAATGTTTGTGCATGAATTCTATGTAAGTCCATGCGTCTTATGTTAGTGTATGGCTCCTGCATAAGTCTTTGGGTTCTATGTTAAGGTATGGGTCCTATGTAAGTCTATGGGTCTGATGTAAGTCTATGAGCCCTATATGAATGTATGGATCCGATGTGTGCGTGTCCTACGTTAGCAAATATAAAAAAAAAGTTACTGTCTGCTGTAACATCGTCAGTGCTGTTAGTTGACAACGATGCATGCCCCCCTCCCCCCCCAACCTTCTTTTGCCTTAAGATACGGGGAAAAACAAGTGCGTCATAATCCGGAGAATACAACATTCGAATCATTTTATCAAAAAACCCTCTTAAACTGTAACCAGGCTCCCGAGCAAAACGCGACTCTGCGGAATGGCACAACTTCATCGTCGGATTTTTTTTTTTCTCGGCGGCCATGCAAACCGGCGGGAGTACACAAGGTGGCTTTGTGAGCACCGCCAATTTGTCGACGGCGGGGTCGAGGCAACGGGGGATGATGCGCGACCAAAAAAAAGACAAAGAGCAGAACGACAGAGGCTCGCTCCGTCCGATAGCCCCAAACCACGGGGCGGGGAAAACCTTCCAGTTTCGATAACCAAGGCGAGAGCTCAAAGAGACCAGGGTTGATATCACTTTGCGAGAGTGACCGAGGGCATTTCATTAGTCTGCCAGTCGGTAGGGGGCTATGATTGGCACGTGTAATCCGTGCCATTTGGATACTGACGCACACGTACGTATGTGTGTATGTAGAACTTCTTTCGCGCCATACGTAGCCGACCGTGCTAATCGGAGGTGCAAATGGCCAACTGTTGCGAATGACATCAGGGGGTTCTTTAACGTCCCGTTGCGAGTGAAGCTGACGGCGATCACGGTTATCAGATCCACAACAATAACAGGGTGACTGTAATAATGATAAGTGGAGAACGTGCTATCCACTCAGCCATGTCACCAGCCAAACGCTTTTCCTTACTAAGGGCCGAACAGGATTTTCAGATACTATTGGCAATCCACATATTAACACACATCTCAGTATAATTTCAACAAATGGTGCACGTGCAGCCCTGCAGCTACCTGCATTGCACGTTGAACGTGTTTCGCACCGTACGTAGCCAAGCGTGCTAATCGGAGGTGCGGGGGGAAGGACAACAAACTAAACACAAAGAGCAGTTCTAAAGGTGGCGGAAAGGGGCCTCACAACTAGAGCGGGCTGAAGAGAGCCCATCTCAACGCAATTTTGGGCCCACTATGCATAATAATTGAAACTTGTAACGCACACGCAGCGTTCGCTCTACCCTCAGAGAGAGAGAGCACGACTCAAGGGGCACGGGGAGGAACCACGGGAGAAGTGGGAACGCAGCCGGGCGGTGAGTCGGCGCCACCAGTTACCCCAGCTCTGCAGTCCCCAACGTATGGAGATGTTTTCAGCCAATTAATGACGGTTTGTACGCGGGAGGTAAACCAGAGTACCCGAAGAAGATCCACACGGGCGTACGGGGGGAACCACCCGACCCCGTGCAGCATGCTTGCACCGCCTTCTCCTGGCGAGCTAGGACATGGGCACCCCGACGTCCACGGGAAGGGGGTTTCACGACATCTGCGCGATCCACCAACCCTCGCCTCCACGCTGCTGGATTCACAGGCGTGCCCGGCCCGCCGCCAACGCCACCCACCGCCGCCCTGCTGCGACTCTTCCACGTTTGGCAGGGATGAGCGTTGCTCTAATCCGCGCGACCTGCCGGTCGACTCGCCATGGGAGGCCGTCGCTCCCGCCACGGCTTTCTGCTCCTGGGGTCTGGAATTCTCGTCCGCTTGAACCGAGCGCAGTTGAGACCCTGCCCATGAAAACAGGCGCATCTGTTTTCATGGGCATACGTCCATAATAGTTGTATTCTTTGGTGAGATCGCGTGACTATAAATGTGGTCGTTAAACCCGCCAACACCCGACACAGCCAATTAGCAAGGTTTGTGACGCAGAAAAAAAACAAACCCTTATAAACAGATTGCCTTTAGAGGCCGACTCCATTTGCCTGATGACGACCGCTTGTGTTGCGATCGAAACGTCGTGATTTGTTTGATTTTATTTCTAACCACGCGACTTTACCGAAAGAACCAAAGAGCAAGTTTTCTGCCAATCGCCTGGAAAACTGCTCGCCCTCTCTGGTTGTTTTCTGGTCCAACGTCGAGGCAGAAAACCGATTGGCTCCGCCTGGATTAAGGCCACGGTGAAAAAAGCCAAACCGCAATCGAGGCATTCCAGCGGAGCGAACGGCAATTTAGAAAACAAGTCAGGGGGTCCTGCTGGTAACTAGCGTTTGCCTCGGGGATCATTTTCACGGGAGATAAACATCTTTTTGTTGTTGTTGCGGATAAACTCGCATTGAGAATCCACAAGATTTCTTCCCGTTTCATTTCCATCAAATTAATCCGTTAGCTCGCAAATTCATTTGTTTGCTCACGCTGCATGGTTTTTAGACCGAGTGGTCGTGCCAACTACCCCTTACAGCAGAATTCATTTAGCCTGACTCTGTTAAATGAGACCACAACGAGTGAGACCGGGCCACAGAATGTTTCCGTTTGAACAAAAACGCTCCTGGATAACGTTGGCGAGGGCGGCAAGCGCAATTAAACCTGAGTTTGATTCCCAACCAGTGGTGAGTAATAACTGATACGGTTCTGAGCCACCCCCCCCCCAGACCCCCCATTCACCAACCTGCAATGAGCATGTATGTATTTTGAACGTCTTTCACACCGTATGTAGCCAACTGTGCTAATCGGAGGTGTGGGGTGAGGACAACAAACTAAAGACAAGAGACAATTCTAAAGAAATTAGTTTTCAATCTAGATTTAAAAGTGAATAGCTTCAGTGGCTTACTAATGTCAGAAGGAAGAGCATTCCAGACGGCCGCAGAAGCGCTTCTGAAAAGCACAGCAGTATGGTGACGTACAGCCAAACAACCTTCATCGCCTGCAAGTGTGTGGAAAGTCCCTCCTGCGGTGGTTAATTGCCAATGGGCTGTAAATTATAATTTCTATTCGATATTGAGTCTGGTAATTCCCAAGCATGACGGACAGACGACCAGCATCATTGTGTCAGGAGATTCAGAAATGTCCACGTGGAAACTCTCGCGGTCGTAGTGCCGTCCGCCCCACGCCGCAAAACGTCGCCAGAAGTCATGGAATAACTTCTGAATTAACTCCTGCCAAACCACGCAAAAGCCCAGAAGATAGAAAGTCTGATTATTTACGTTCTTAACCATAAAACGTTACACAACAGTGCACACTAATTTTTCACTTTTTGTTGTTGTTAATTAAAACACTTGCAAAGATGTCTACAGAGCATCGCCAAACTCATCATTGCCAGGACGACACATTCCCGGGACAAGTGAGGAATGTGTGACGATAAGTGACAATATGCTGTGCGTGGACAGGACTTCATAAGGCAGTCGTTTTTATTTTTTCCCCGTCCAAAGGGCTTTACAACTTTTTCACAAGTTAGTGTTGTAAATCTGGTCAACTATTGACCCGGGCGAGCAAAAAAACCCTTGGAAATACCCGAACAAGGGGCGAGTCCACTGCGGGCGCTCGCACGATTTTCACTTGCACACAAAATCGTCGGTCGCAGGACTCCGGCAAAAAAAAATCAAAATCAAACAAAGAGCGTAGGGTTTCATTAGCACGCCTGTGTCGGTGCCGCACGAGAAGCAACGTCACTCTTCCCGTGATCGCGACGGGGGCGGGCCCAACGTCGCTGACCATTCCAACCGTGCGGCTGCTGTAGTTTGTTTTTGTCACCTACTCGCGAGTCCGCTTTAGAAGCAGTTTTTAAAATGTTACAAAAATATCGGGGTTTTTTTTTCTTTAACCCCAATTCAACGGTGCACCAGATTTTATTTATTTATTTACAAACCACGCAAGGTTAATCGTTTGCGAAAGCAGGCTCTTGTTGAAAGCTGGCCCATTCAAGCGAACGAAGGGAATAGTTAAAGTCGTTGTGCAGATATCTGCATGCAGATGATAAGACACGAAGTGTCTCCGGACGAAGCTAGCCTGGGTGATACCAAATATAAATATAACGCCTTTTGGTGTCCTCTGGTTTAGCACCAATTGAGACGAGGCTCAAAAGAAAGCCGTCTCTGATGCGGACCAATCAGATTCAAGGACAACGCATACATTATCAGTGTGTTTTTTGTTTGCATTTTGACCACAAGTATTGTGGTTAATGCACACATGAACCCTTGTAAAAAAAGTTTAAGTTTTGTTGCCAGAAAAAAAGGGGAAAAACCCTATTATTATATTTTGGTACTGGCAAAGGAGGTCTGATGATAACGTGGGTTACAAAAGTCCCAATGGCGCTCTCGACATTGTACCATGAGATTAATTTTGCATGCCCCCTCCTACACCCCCCCCCCCTCCGCTGCCTTATACCTACT